AATCTCCCAAGCTGCTTATAACCAATACAGCCAGGATCTGAAGTGACAGCAGCCAGCGGGCAGGAAGGCCTAGAAAGCATCTCCTCCAGGCCCTAGTAAATGCAAGCATAAAATGTGCTTCTAGAAGAAAAACATTAATGGCACTTGTAGCCAGGAACACAGACAGGGGACAAAGATGACTAAACAAGTATCCAGAGGGAAGCCAAAGCCACAAGGAAAAGTATGGAGCATGGAAAGGACAGAGCACCCACCAAAAAGAATAGCGCAAGAAAAATGGGATCATGTGAGAAGAGAAAGCCCCGCTTAGAGATGACACTTATTGGCCTTGGTAAAAAGGAGCAAAGGACAGCACGGTGGCTGCCCAGGGCAGGCTGCTCTCCTTCATGGGCCATAACGCACAGCAGCAGCCTAGAGCATTACTGACCGTGTCACCCACAGTTCAACAGAAACTAAGCCTGGTAACCTCTGATGAGTTCACCAACTGTTGAGATCACAGAGTAATCAGTTTTCCGTTTTACAATTATTTAAAGAATTTCCTGTACTTCACATTGTCCCCATGTTCACTCTTCCACCGTGCCATGAAATGTTTCTCTATTCAGCTGGCACAGAGCCACCAGACCCTCCAGTCACCACAGCCAAGCTGGCACTCAGAGAGGGCATTCAGCCTAACATCATCAGCCACCACCTAAAACAGCGACCATGCTGTTGGCTGATCAGCTTAGGAAGTTTCTGCCTCTGGCCCATCTGCTTGTTCTCACCTCCTCAGAGTCCAGTGCCAGATCAGCTGTTTGGTTGGCAGCCCTATGAGCAGGGAAGGAAAAGAGGCAGAAAAGGCAATTCTAAGTCTTCTCTGAAGTCAGTTGAGCTTCCAAGGCAGTTGATAAAATTAACAACCTTAACAGAAACTGCCCACTGCGAACAGCAACCAAATAAAGCTGCTAGTTCCCAAATGGCTGATGACCAAGCCACAGCTGCGACGGGGGGAGAAGAGGGGGGAGTGCGCATGAATCCTTGAGTGAGTCACTGCCTCCCTGCATCCCTGCTGGCCTAGATAAATGCTGCTGCCAGTCGATGATGGGTGCTGCAAACCAACTCAAGCCCACAGCATCCCTGCTGCTCATCTCCTGGTGGGCACAGAGCCCACACCAAACAACGCAATCTCTGAGCAAGTGTGCAAACAGGAGAGGTAGTCACAACAGCCATTAGGTCTTGAGGTTTCCATACAGCTCCAATAAACTTTCATGTTTCTTCTTGTCCTTGCTCCTGCTTTCAGAAGTGCCCCCTTAAAGGCTGGGATCTCAGGCAGGTGAGGATGCAATATAAAACTTCCCCTTTTAGACAAGATCAAAAAAAAAACCAAAAAAAACATGAAAGCAAATAAATAAAATAAAAATAGTGATGAAGACACTGTGTAGCAAGTTGCTCCTCGTCCCTACATTGGCATTAGTTGGTTTACAGTGCTGGCTGCTCACTTGTACCATCCAAGCAACAGGTTCTGATGGATCACATCAGGCCTGCCTTACCTCAATGCTAAAGTTTAGGGAGAATGCAGCAGTAGGTCTGCTAACCACTCAAAGCACAAAATGCATCTAAATGAAGAGCAAATCATATCAACTCTAAATCACATGTGTAACATCTGCACTACAGATGCACTGAGGACAGGGAACTGGTTTAAAACAGACACTCCAGCTAGTTAGACCTCTACAACATAAAAGCAAGCCTCAATTGCTGTGATACTGAGGCACCGTAGCTACAAATCCTGCAGTAAAGTCATTCAGTGTTTTAAGAATGGAAGGTTTTAAGCAAGTCCTATAGTGCTTAATGTAATCCTATGGAAGAGCTATTAAAGTTTTAACTGTCCTCACCCACTGAGTATACGACAGATTTCTTTCCTGCAGTTTCATAAGTGTATGAACACACCAGAAGAAATGGGGAGAGAAAAGGAAGAGAACCTTGAAGGAGCAGAGAGAGTCTCCACCTTCTACATCTGCAACCCTGGCGTACACACTGGATGCTGAGGATTTCAGCAACAGAAACTGGCTAGCTAATATTCACACCAAGAAGAAAGGGTCAGGCCACAAACTGTAAGTTTCAGGCTAAAAGTGTTGAATTTTGCAATTTGTAAATCCCACCTTCAACGTCACACAACTCTGAAAACTTCCCCCACGACCCTTGGTTGTGAAATAACAAAACACACAGGACCCTGGGTAAAACATGGTTGTTCTCACAGTTAGAATTGCCTGAGATAGCACAAGATTCTCCTCAAAACCGTTATCCTAAGTACTTCAGGGAATGCAAAGAAACAAAAGAACAGCTTATCCTTTGCCTAATTCATCTATTCCTCTGGCCTGAAGATTTATCTTACAATGGTTTCCCCACTCCCTACCACAAAACCCCCACCACTTCAGGTGCATCTCATCTGTAACTTTTAAGACATGATATAGACGGATTACAGTGTCGTCACACATGGTTACAAGCAAGGAATATGCACAGAGGAGAGCAGCACAAGGCAGAAAGGAAGATGCTGTATAGGGCACCTGTCTCAACTAAGAGTATGGTAACAGCAAATCCTACAAAGTATATGTACATACAATAGCTTCATAAAGGGTCACTGACATAACTAAATATTGGGGAAAGGTCAACAGTTTAAATTCCTTGTGCAGTCTTTCTACAGCCCCTTAGACAGGCAGGATTGCTTGAATGCCTTGATACCAGGTTTCCTTAAGGAAACTGCAACCAAAACAAGCGTATCTGAACTCATTTACTGCAATACTAACAAGTGAAGAGGAAGAAAGTTGTAATTTCTGCAGCCTTCACACCAACACAGCTCACACTGAGAAACAGAGCCAGAGAATGAATGAAACAGAGCAGTTGAGACCTGAAGTGCTGCATACCCTATGCTAAGGCAGGCAAAGCAAATTGATGGGAGTATTCCATCCAGCCTCCAGCTGGGTACTCCAGCCCACTGATTCTCCTGAAGCATCCAATGCTGCTACCCCTTCCAAGCAACTGTCTGGTTAGTGATGCCCATGTGACAAAAAACAGGCCAGCCCAAGACATGATGTATTCATGACATTTCTAAAATCTCCTGAAAATGCAAAGATGTCCCATCTCAAAAAGGCCTGTCTCCCACCCAGCTCTGGCAAAGGTATCCTAAACCACAGCAAATCCCTGCTGTAGAAGGAAGTGGTTGACCAACTAAAGAAACTAAGGAGAGCCAGAGTAAAGCAGCTTCCCATTCTGCTGTGCTCCAAAATATCACGTAGAAACACAACAATGGACAAATCAAGCAGTGGACTTGGAGACTTGGGAAGACTTCTTTATTTCCTTCTATCGGTTGACTTGGTCTATCCAATACCACTCTAGTGTAATCTCTGCTTAACTTCCCTGAGCATCTGGCTTTTGAGCACAGAACATACGTCACATGCCCCAGTGTTCATACATCTGTGCTAGAGGCAGATTTATATCAACTGGCTCCATTCCTGCTTGTGTAATCGATCACCCTTTGTCATATTTGAAAGTGGCATTTCTTTAGCCAAACTCTGGGAACTGGGGCAAAAGATTCCTTACCAAGCTGTCAGGGAGCCCAGGAACTCAGAGATAACAGGTCTCTGGGAGGATGAAGTCACTAGGATTGTTGAGCCTGGGTGGAACACAGCAGGGGTCTATATTCTTCAGAGAAAGAAAGAGTTTTAGGAGGAGCAGCTTGATGCTGTTCTGCTACCAGCAATTATGCTAGGTTTTAAACAGCAAATATGCTTCCTTTTAGTGACCAGAGTTTGATTTAATGTCCCAGTCCACCACAGATTTATTGCTTTTGGAGTCCAAGTCTCCCTCTCACACTCCTCCCATCTCACCATACTTGCGGACTTTTTCCTTACTTCACATTTTAACTAATAGATTTGTGGTTTTAAATAAAACAATTTTTCATTTTGAAACACAAACAATAAACTGAAAGTAACTATAGAAGAAAATGCATACTTTGTCTCTTAAGACTAAAGTCAGCAAGTAACTTCATATAAATCTTAATTCAAAAGGTATCCAAAAGACAGCTGAGGGTCACTGCTGACGACCTGTGGAAGTCAGGCAGACACACGGCACTTGGCTATCTCCACTTCTGAAAGCACCCAGGAGACCTGCAAGTGCAAGCGTAGGCAAAAGCAAGCAGCCACGCTGCCACAGGAGTAGCAACTAAGGCCAGCTATAAGCTGGATATAAAGAGGGGGTGGGGAAAGGCTGCAGCGAAGACCTGGTGTCATACCAGGACAGGCAGGGAGAGCGACAGAAAAGAACAGGTCATGATCGGGCTGGGGGGAAGGGCAGCATTGGAGCTGCAGAGCAGAAGAGAGAGAAAACAAGGCACCCTCCTGTCAGACAAAAGACTGAAAAAAAAAAAATAAAGTAAAAAAGACAATTTCTTGAAAATTCTGTTTTGTAACATTGCAGTGACATGTAAAGTACTGCTCTAGCAGCCACAGAATGCCAGATGAATGTGACAGAGGCTGGTTTGCAGAGAGGGAAGGAGGAAGATGCACTTAATGGCATTCTCCAAAAAGGACACATGGTCTCACTGAGTACTGCTCTCCTTCACTTCCCCAAGGAGGTTCACAAGGCAGAGCTGCAAGGACAGTATTTGATGGCAGTAAGATACCCTTTCCTATCCTTGCTGTCTTGAAAACAGCAATATATTTGAGGTGCAAAACAGACCAAACTTACAAGTAGTTTTCTAGATTTCTTTTCAGAGAAGGTCAATGTGACAAGCTCAGACAGGCTTTTATGAAATCTGCTTGCTAAATCGAAGACAGTACTTGAGAGCATTCTTGTTCAAGTCCCTTACAAATCTGTCTCTGATGATGAATAACCTTAGGGACTATGGAAGCAATTCACAAAGCAGGGTTCAGAGAACTTCTGTGTTACAATTTTTCTATTTGAGATACAATTTCCATCTAAAACTAAGCCTTCTATTGAATTACAGGTCCTGCTTTTTAATACGCACTTACCAAACATATGAGTCGTATCTCCACACACATCTTGGCGAACACTGTTTCTGGTTCTTTTGAGTAGCTTGTTAGCATACTGTGTGTATCTGCAAGGGCCAGACAGCATGTCACTAGAGCAATAAGCTTTCTCCAAGAGCTTTTAGCAAGCCCACAAGCTTCCTAACCTGCAGGCTGGAACCTGTCTGTTGGAAGAGTGCCAAGAGAAAAATGGGATGCCCTTTCACAAGGACCAGACACACAATCAGGAGCGAGCATCTGAGCACGGGCCAAACGTACAGGACTTATGGCACGCTATCAGAGGTTTTATCAAAAAAGTTAAAGCAAGGTTTGATTCCCCTGCATTGTGGGCATGACACACGTTCCAGTATAAGAAGCAAAGATCAGCGTATGGAACAGAAGATCTATTTAGGGACGCGCCATGACCCTAACAAAAATGAATACAGAAATTACTGTATAGAATTAAGTTTCACATAAGGAAAAGGGTCAAATAAGCTGCCTTTTGTAAAAGCCCTGCACCCTCTGCTATACCACTGATAAGAGTGAAATAAAACATGGGAAAAGAGATCCCATCAGCAGCCTTGCTCTGAGCAACTGCTTTTCTTTTAGAGAAACAGGAGAGGAAGGGAAGAAAAAAAAAAAGCCTTCATTAGTCACTGATAGGATAAGTTGTATTTACAAAGAGTGCATTAGTCATCCACTGGTTTTGTTCCAGAGGGAGCAGAGGAGGGCTCTGTCTTCTCAGCTTCCACAGGAGACAAGGCCTCCATGCCTGAAAGCGCAGCCACTGCACACTTCATTCCAGAAAGCGCTCATGACGGCGCGAGGTCCCCGCATCCCTCCACCCAAGCGCTGCCTTCTGCTCTCTGACGGACACCGACTGGGAGGACACAGGTGGAAAACAAATCCTTCCGATTAGTATTGGCTACACTGCCTCTCAGGGCTCGGTCTATTAAACACACATCAAAACAGCACAGCCAGCCCTGGTGGGAGGAAGATGCAGGAAAATACTGAGGCTGCAGCTTCTCTAGTAGCTGTCACTGCTCACATGAAAGCTCATCCACAAAGGAAGAGTGCAAGGCAAGCAATTCACAAGTATCGCAAACACAGCCGCTCCTCTTTTCCTCCCTGAAGTCACAGCATGCTAAGGAAAGCCTAAAATATAGAGACCCTACCCTAGACAGGGCAGTTGTATGCATCTGGACTACAATGTACTTCTGCACAGCTTCTGTGCATGCCCCAGCTCTCCAAGCACACCTCATCCCCAGCAGTCAGACAGGAACTGTCTCTCCCCCCACATCCCCTCCCCGTGTGCTGGCTATGGCCATTGGGAAGGGCTGCAGCAAGCAGGACCTGTCCCTCTGTATGGAGGGAGCACCAAGGAAATGTAGCGGCTGTATTTCTGCTGGCACCTGCAGAGAGGTTCATGTGCTAGGAACTAAAAGGGTCAGGCAGGCTGGGGAAGGCAAGACTTGTCACAGAATAAATATGCTGTCCCTTCAAACACTGAGCTGTTATCAACTCTTCGTGAGCTTCTGAGCTGTGGGGAATCTGCCTCCAGTTCATCTGAGAAATCCTGGGAAGTTCTCAAGCCCCTGAGAAAAGGGCTGCCAGCTTTGTGCATGTTTTACTGCTACTGTCCTACAAATCTATTCAATCCTGTTAAAAAAAAAAAACAAAACAAAATCAAGCTTGTAGCTCACATCTGCCCTGCTAAGTGATTTTGCTGCCTCCTCCCCCTGCCCAGCCACTCATTCATCTTCACACAAAATAGCAAAGGGATTACACAGATGTTGCTTTGCTATCCTGACCTTCTTAACCTATGCCCACGTGCCATCAGTGATGTTGTGCGCTCTCCATCCCATCATCCATACGTCAGAGACTAACTCCCTTCTTGCTTCAGCCTCATTCAGAAGCTGGGTGGTAATTCTCATCTCCTGCTACACGGCTTCACAGGAGCACAGACAGAAACCACCACCCTCCCTGCACGAGTGGGAAGCAAGGTCCAAAGCACAACATGCTAGTTGTAAACCACAACTGAAAAGAAGGACAACACATGCAGCATACCCAGAATGGTATCTGACTCAGGGGCAATAGAAACACTGGAAAACTGAATGCTCAGAGAAGAGTTCCACTGTGGGGAGCGTGTAGAGCATCTGTGCATGTGTGCCTGGGAAAGAGGGAACTGCACGATGAGGGACAGAATTTCATTTTAGCATCCAGCAGAAGCAGCAGCTCAAATGGAGCTGAGGCTACTGCAAAGGAATCACAGAAGGTGGCTGGGCCATTGGTTTGCATGTAAGCTGTTTTCTACTTCTGGGTGGAAGTCTTTGTCTAATCCAGAAAGAGAGGCTGCACAAATCCTGCAGAACAGGTCAGCAAGGATTTTCAGTCATCACTTGACCACAGTATGGACCCAGGAAAGTTGCATCCCATACAGCAAGGATAAGCTACCTTCACTGTCCAACACTCAGCTTCAGCAAGCCCAAAAAGAGATGCTAAGGGCAGCCTAGAATAAATCCATGGTGGTATCCAGAGTGAAGGAACACACACACTTATGAGTATCAGAAAAACAGTTGGGGAGGTTCCAAGTGAATAGGAGGAAAGACTCTTAAACTTGATTAGCAAACTGGAGGAAGCACATGGCAGACACAGGACCTGGTGGCAGGGGAAGGTCTCTGGCATAGACGAGAGGGTAGAGTCTGCATGGCCATCACTGCAGTGGTCACAGCCAGTATCACTGGTGAGCCTCATGTCAAAACCCAAGCACCAGCAATATGCAGCTGTCAACACCTGTCCACTATCACCCAACGCACACAGGGAAGCAGCCGGTATCTGTTGTTTTGATTCTAAGAATCAGACCAAAAGTGGTCTTGGGCTCAGCCCTGCTCTCCCTACAGTTTTACTCTATCTTCTCAGCACTCCAGGCTTCTGCCCTGGGGAGCTGCAGGGCTGACACATCCACAAGGCAGAGCAGAGTTACCTTCCCAAGAACAACTTTTTCTGGTGCTTTGAAAAATAACTAAATAAATAAATAAAAATCAAGGCCTCTTCAAACCAAAATCCCTCAGACAAACCACAACTCAGCTGCTGGGACTCACAAATCAACAGAGCTAACAGCTCCCAGAGTTTTCCAGTGTGCGTAACTGTGGTTAGGAATACATCTGCCACAACTGCATTTCTATTCCTTTGGCAGGAGAGGTGTGTGGAGGAGGAAAGCAAAGCATGCTGAAGTGCACATGGATTACTGGGCTTTTTGGTCACTTTCCTAGTTTTTAGATCACTTTTGCACATTTCAGAAGCCACAAAAGTCATGGTAATTTCCAATGCACACCACATCCACAGTGCAGACTTTTTGACCTTGGGGCCATTAAAAACACCATCATCCCTAACACACCACATTAGCAAAGATATAGGCTAACAAACCCCCAGGGTTTCCACTGCCCTCTGCTCTTTGCTGCTCTGCCCTGAATGGACAGATGGATGGCTCTCACTAGCATCTTCCATCCACCTGCCTTCTCACCTCAACTAAAGGGAGGGGACAGAAATCACCCTTCTCTAGGATCTGACGATGACACATCCAGCACTGTAGACAAGCTGTTGCCTATAGGGACTCAAGTGGTCACATAGGTTTTTCTCCATAGGGTTAGGGGCTGGAAAAGTTCCAGGAGGCTGGGCTTTAGTGAACAAGACCCTATGCAAGGGGATATCATAGGCAGCTGTTCTCTGAGAAGCCAAGACCTTTCACTTTAAAAGTGCAGCAGCACAGCGAGAGCTGGAGTAAAACTGAAGTGATAAGCAAACTGCATAACAATTTCCTCTGGAGCTGGCACTCACAAGCACAAGACAGACACCCAGCTTCTGATACTGATCCTGCTGGGTACCTTCTGCCCTTGCAAAAGAGCCTCAAAGCTTTATGGAGATGTCTACTCCGCAATCAAAGATTTAAACGCAGCAAGAATAGACATATTCACGTTAGCACTAGAATCACTAGCAGAAGTAGTAATAGCAGAATCGATGGACTTTAACGTAAATTGTACAGGCCTGATGGGGACCTACATATGTGCCTAAACTGCCAGCCCACACTGAAATCCACATCAGCGGGACTTCAATGCTATTATCTCTATAATACTAAGAATAAAGTTAGTGAAGTATGGCCTTCGTGCTGCAACCACACTTTCTGCTACACTGCCAGCAGAGACAACAAGTTCTCTCAATCAGCTTCAGATACTCACTACTTGTATATAGACTAGAAGGGGAATAAGAGGAATGGAGAGAAAAAGGATCAAAATATGGACACCTGGTGAGAGATTTCTAATTACACTTTGTTTGTCCAATCCCGCACATCTTCCCACTCAAACACTGAACACATCCAGAGACAAGTTCTATAATAATAATAGAAAGACGTATCTAAAGGGAGACACACATGAAGAGCAGCTCCTGGAACTCACAGCACATGTGGGTGAAGTGATTACGCTTTGTATCTCACAACTCCACGGCCCACAGCCAATTCCATTTTCAGTGCAGTGAGCAAGCAGCATCAATCTCCAGCTCAATAGGTGCAGAGATTTACAAATATGCACACACTAGTTTCCATTACAGTGGTTTCTGAGCACAAGCTACAGGCATCCACAGATGCCCTGTACACACTAGCTCTCAAAACTAGCACCACAGGGCAGGAAACAAACAGCAGCCAGCTTTGCGTAAGTTTTAGATCCTCCAGTGAAGATCCACTTAAGTTCAGTCACACACAGGACTAACTTGTTCCCACAGGGCTGGTCGACCACCTCAGCATGTTGGCAGCACTACCTCTACATTTGGAACTGTGGTTACCCCCTTCAGATGCCTTTTTACATCACATCACCCAGCAGATGGGACAATACTGGTAGTTACTTTGTTCAGCTTATGCCTCAACTCTCCACTTAAGCATGTTATTCCTAGGCTGAGTCAGTATTCTCCCAGATCTGAGAGTCAGAAGTGCTTTCAAATGGTACCAGAGAAGAGATTGCCAAGAAAAACAGGAGGCCTCAAACACCCAGGACTTCATCCCTTCCCCTCCAGATGGCAGGTATCAGAAAGAAAAGAGGTT